TAAAATCTTTTTAATTGGAAAATCCTTGGTTTTAAAAATCGAATACCATTTATTTTTTTAAAAAAAGATTCTCGGTCTTGTCACAAGGTTTTGTCAAACTTGTTTAGTCGTTGAGAAAATGGAATTGACTCTAGAAAATTCAAGATCGATGATTTATGACTTTCGAAGTGGTTTAACACAAAAACAGTGTGTTGACCGGATGATTTCTGCATTTGATGATGAATCCCCATCTAAAACCACAATTTATCGCTGGTTTGTTGAATTTCAACGTGGACGTGTCAAGCTCAGTGATGATCCCCGTCAAGGTCGTCCAAAAACTGCAGTCACCCAACACAGAACAGATACAGAACCCTCGAAAGATTCCACGCAGGATCCTCAAATACTGTATACAACATCGTATCAGGTGACGAATCCTGGATATACGCGTACAAACACGAAACAAAAACCAGTCACGAGTTTGGGTGTTCGAAAATGAGTTAAAGCCAATAAAAATTGTTCGTTCACGGAGTGTTGCAAAAAAAATGGTGGCCACGTTTGTCTCCAAAACCGACCATGTTACGACTATTCCTCTTGAGGGACAAAGAACAGTTAATGCAGAATGGTATGCTAGCATTTGTTTGCCACAGGTCGTTTCTGAACTCCGTAAAGAGAACTGCAACCGCCGCATCATCCTCCATCACGACAATGCGAGGTCTCACACCGCACACAGAACAAAAGAGTTTTTAGAGCAAGAAAACGTAGAATTATTAGAACATCCGCCGTATAACCTCGACCTAAGCCCTAATGATTTCTATACTTTCCCTAAAATAAAGAATAAATTGCGTGGACAGAGATTTTCATCACCTGAAGAAGCTGTGGACGCCTACAAAACGGCCGTTTTGGAGACCCCAAATTCCGAATGGAATGGTTGCTTCAATGATTGGTTCCATCGTATGGAAAAATGTGTCAAATTTCGCGGAGAATACTTCGAAAAGCAATAAATACATTTTTAACATTGAAGTAATATGTACTTACGTACTAGAACAGCTATCTCAAACAAAAAATGTGCGCTACTCTGTGTTCGCGTGGTTGGTTTTTTTTATCATAGAATAAACATAGTACTAAAACAACACAAAAAAGTACAAAAAAACATATACGAAATAACCTAGTAGATTGTATTGTTAAATAGGTTAATTATGTCGAGAACAATATTTAAATTTGTCATTTATTTTTATGTTATATTTGCTTATTTAATGTAATATTACATAATATTATATCACAATTTTATTTTAATGATATTTTTATCTGAATATTTTAAAAGGTATCTATGTCAAATACAAAAAAACATACTATGTATGTTTTTTTGTATTAACATAACATTTAATTAACAATCTCCCATAGGAGAATAGTTGAAAATGTGTCCATCTGTGAGCAGTAAATAACAGTTCAAAAACTCCACAACAGCGCTCGAGTAGGCTAAAGGGTATGAAAAATCGCCGTAAAATACGTTGAGTGATTTTGAAAGCAATAAAATAATTATTGTAAAAAGAATTATGGTGAGTCTGTGCAAAAAAAAATTATAAAAAAGTTCTTTAAAATTTAGACTGTAGCCACCACAGAACACTATTACTCCTATGTAGCCACAATGGCGCCACCCATATTTAACGCTTTCATACGGACATTTTTATAGTACTCTTATTAGTTTGTGGACGTTGACTAGTTGTAGTTTTTACAATTCGCCAATTACGGCAGGCAAAGGTCTGAAACCATACAGCCTAGTCTGATGTGAATTTTAACAACATCAAAGAAGGCTACATATACGTTGTCAACTAAGATGGAATGCCACATAGTCTGTAATTATACATAAAACATTAAGTAAATGTAATTATAAAAGTTCAATTTAAGAAAAAATCGCAAATTCTGGAAATAGTGAAAATGTCGCGATTAATCTAAAATCGATCTTTTAATCATCGATTTAATCGATTCAGGTATGTTCGATTCGAATCGATTCAGAAATCGAATTTTTATAATATGTATTCACGCAGGTAGCAAGAGTGAAAGAGGGCTGGCATTACGTATTGCATTTAAATCGAATCAAACTACCTCGATTTAAAAAACGTAGGTAATTTATAAATTCTGCAATATGTCTAGGCAATTACATACCAATACAAAACTTATTAACATAACATTTTAATTACAAATATATTTATTTAAATTAGAATAAGAGTCGTTCTGGGTACGCTAGAGTTAAAATCGTCGAATTTATTCCACTTTGACTTTGATGTGGAAACCTAAAAATAAAATAAAAGAATAATAAGCAGATTTAAACATGAAAAATTTTGCCTAATTATAATAACTTATATACGTTTCTACAAAAAAAAATGTGTATAATAATAATATATTCGTCCTATACTTAAGTACCCACAGAAATGTCGCATCTGAACGTATTAATTTCATAATCTATATTCCATGACACGAGATGGCGTCTTAGGAATAATTTGTTTTATTATTAATCCATAATACTTTTTTGTTGATTAAGTATCTTATTAACCGATGAAAAGTAATTCCTTGGTTTTTACTGACATTTCTTGAATTATTTGTACAATATCTAAGTACACACGACGGCATATTTTTATGAAGAGATTTTTTTAAATCAACACAACACGTGACAACTCTACAAGCGCCTAACGAGTGACTGATTAAAGTGCGGTGTATGCACCGCAGTTGAGTGGAACAGAGTAGCTGAATGCAGTGTCGCCTCTAGTACGTAGTACATAATAGCTCAATGATTTTTAAATAGTAATGTTGTGTCACTTCCTTGATTCCCGAAATTTTCAGTGCCGCCCTCGTAGATCAATCCACCTCGCAACTTGCCCTTCTGGATTTTTAACTGCAATAGCCATTTTAGTCCAGCATGGTCAGTTCGTAAGTGAAATTTTCTCCCCAGAAGATATTTGCTAAAATGCTGCAACGACTTTACCACGGCTAGCAATTCGCGTCTTGTGACACAATAGTTCTTTTCCGGTTTTGACAACGACTACGCTATCACGACCTCTTGGTCACCATTCCGTTGAGACAACACACCGCCAAGTCCTATATCACTTGCGTCTGTGTCAATCAAATATAAATTCTTTGCTTGCATCAGGTTATCCCCAAATAGGTGTTTTGCACAGAATGTCCTCGAGCTCCTGGAATGCGATATTGCAACTTTCATCCCAGCAGAAATGTTGCTTCTCTTCGATTAGCTTGTGCAGAGGTTTGGCTATATCTGCAAAGTTATTCACAAATCGCCGATAATAGGAGCACAAACTCAAAAATGCTCTAACCTGCGTCTTGTCTTTTGGAACCGGCCAATCCTTAACAGCGGTGATTTTCTCCGGATCCATGCGGGTACCATCTTCCGACACTACATACCCCAAAAAGTTGACTTGCCGTTTGAATAGTGAACATTTCTTCGACTCAACTTGAGGTTGGCACTCTGAATCTTCATGAGCACGCGTTCCAGGTTTTGAAGGTGTTCCTCAAACGTACGACCTACGATGATGATGTCATCCAAGTAGATCAGACAGGCTTCGCCAATTAGCCCGGTAAGTACAAGCTCCATCAGCCTTTCAAACGTTGCTGGAGCATTGCACAATCCAAATTGCCACAGACCCTTTCCCATCGAGAACGCGGTTTTCTCTTTGTCCTTAGGGTTAATTTCAACTTGCCAGTAGCCACTTTTTAGATCCAGCGTGCTAAACCACTTTACTCCTGTAAGCATGTCCAGCGTGTCATCAATTCTTGGCAAGGGATAGCTGTCCTTCTTCGTAACGTCGTTCAGACGGCGGTAGTCAACACAAAACTGCATGCTGCCATCCTTCTTCTTTACCAGCACCACGGGTGAACACCATGGACTAGAGGAAGGTTTAATAATACCATCCTTCACCATTCCTTCAATCATGGTTTCCACTTTCTTTTCACGTGCTACCGGCAATCTTCTTGGCCGCTGACGGATAGGCAATTTGAACTAAGCCAGTCTTCCCTATGTCAGCATCGTTTAATGAGAATACATCGGCATACTTGAGTAACAACTTCTTCGCCTTGACTATTTCATTCGGGGAGAAAACGCTGCGACAGTCTTCTAAAAGTGTGGTCACTCGTTTGTGCATCCTTGATGAGGGTCCCAATCGATAGATATTGGCACCGACGCGATCAATCCACTTCCTCACAAGTACCAACCAGTGTGCCTTTTTCTATAATCTGTTCCTGGTCACAAAGGTTCAGCAGACGTACTCCTGAAATGTCAGTGGTTCTGACCAGGGTTCGAGCTACTTTGCATGGAAGATCATTTTACACTTTCAACAAGTAAACAAACGAAGACTAACCGGCACAATCGTTTCCGATCTCGACGGAAGAACAATCTTCTTAATGCTGTACACGTTCCCTGGTAACGCACCTTCCATAAAAAGTTCCTCCTGTCCACATTTCAAAACACCTTGCTTAACGTCGATCTCACAACAATTATTCCTCATAAAGTCTAGGCCCAGGATGCAGTCATCCATTATATCAGCCACGATGACATTATGCAGGTAAATCATGTTGCCTAGCTTCAACTCCATCTCCTTCTCCCTGCGGACGGGTATGCGCTGACCGGTGGCTGTTACCAAATTAATGTGTTCTCGGTTGTTTGCGGAGTCCCCAAGGAACTGACTTATAAGTTGGGAACTAACAACCGTACGAGAGGCTCCAGTGTCTATGGTCAGTTTACACGGCATTCCATTGATCTCGCCCTTGATAATTAGGCTGTTCCCATCATGGGTTTGTGAGATCGAGATCCTAGGGGCTCTTTTAACATCAGCCAGCACCCGCCAGTTTCCCTGTTGCTGCTGGGCGGTGCTGTTAGCCGCACTACCCTCTCGGGATCGATCACCTTCCTACAGTTCGCTTAGGGCAGCTGGATCGAAGATGGCCCCGTTCTCCACAACCATAGCACTTAGGGCTTTATCCTTTATTGCGTTCGCGGCTTCCACCTCCAGTGCATGGGCCAAGGCGTCCTTCAGCGTCTCATGGTGCCAGAGCCTCACAGCAGCTCTGACTTCAAGGTCGCGGATGCCGTCGATGAATGTCTACACCAGGTTCCTTTCAATGAGTACAGGTACAGACCGGTACGCTTTTCGCACCAGCTTCTCCTTCTCCTCTCCTTCTTCTTCTTTAAATTGTACAATGTTGGTCCACATGGACGATCTTAAGAGGTACTCTTAAGATCGTCCATGTGGATCGACTGGCGCGTTATTATGGGGCCGATAATGCTCGGGACGAGCATGTTTTAGGAGGGGGCAGTGTTGCGCGCCTAAGTTGAGTCTAGTACCTGGCACTAGCGCCATCTAGTGTCGGGGACCAGAGCGAGGAGGACTTCCTAGAAAATGTCAATCTTGAATTTTCCACCAACAGCGTTATCTAGTATCGAACAGAAGAATTAAGCTTCTAGAAACCCCACACTCTAACTTTCTGCGCCTGGTCGGTCGGCGCATGTATTTTCTGGAATATTCTGGATGTTTCGGTGAAAAAGGTGTATTTAAAGCCGCTGCAAGCCGCAATCAGGGCAGTATTGAATTTGGCGATACGAGCGAAGTTTCGGAGCGGAATAAAGTGAATCAGTGTGGTTAATTATTAGTGTTTTTAAGTTTTAATTGGTGTTCGGTAATTAAAGTGTTAATTTTGGTAATTCAATCGGCAGTTTTTTACTGTCACGAACCTTAAACTCGTAACAGTATTATTCATAATTATCATAATTTAGTTTTACGGATTGCCCCACCACGATGCAATTAAAAACCATTTTTTCCGCGCTAACCATGTATCCTGGTTTTAATACTTTAAGGTAAACCCTAAAGTAATTCGTACAAATTTTAAAGTTATTATAATAATTTTATAATTTTTCCTTATACAAATATGAAATAAGCACGTAGAAAAACATTCTTAAAAACTTATTTTATTTAAGGATTTAAATTTTTCAAAAATTCTTTCTTGGGGGGATGCCTGTCTTGTTTTAAAACCGTAAGAGGTAAATTTTATTATTTATAGATATATATATATATATATATATATATATATATATATATATATATATATATATATATATATATATATATATATATATATATATATATATATATATATATATAAAGCAGCATAAATATTTTTTCTCTCATCAAATTGAATATTATCTACCCCCTTCTCCCTCCACCGTTAAGGGGTTGTTTTAATAATACTAAAATATTTTAGGTAGCCGGAGGTCCAATTTCCCCCCCCCCCACAAAAAATTAAATGAATGACGTAGTTGACAGGGATCTCCATTTAAGCAAGTAATGCCTGTGTTTGGAAATCCCGCTCTTCCTTATCTAAACATACATTTTTTAATTTAAAAAACCAAAAATAACAAAAACAAATTACTCGATCTTAACAACCAAAATTTAAAAAATTACAAAAGTGTGTATGTGTGCATGCGTGCGTACGAGCGCGCGCGCATGTGTGAGTGTGTGTGTGTGTGTGTTTATGAAAAATCATTTTGTTAAATTATATTGTACATAGAAGTGAATTATGAAATGCGGTACAGCAGAAATTTGGTTTCTTTATAAGTTTTCGACTGCACCCACTTAAGTATCAGGTTTTTACACTCCCTGTACGTTTTGTCGTATATGTTCAATTCTCTATTTATTTTATTGTATAGGAATGCAGAACATGAGCTAAATTGCCTACTAGCAAAAACTGTTTTGGTACCAGAAGGCTTAACCACAATATCTTTTCGCCGCTTTTTCAAGATGCATGGGTCAAAGGACAGGGATTTGTGTGCTTTGAGGATTGTCATAGTAACATATAATTGTCTAACTGAGAGTAAACCACTTATTCTATACAGTTGTTCAGTGAAAAAACGTCTTTTTTTTAAAATACATGACCTTAATAAGGGTTCGTTGGGCTCTCTCCAAGTTAAGAAATTTGGTCTTTGTAGCTCCACCCCACACCGGAATGCAATATGTTATGATAGATTGTGCAAGGTACATGTATATTTGGTTAAGAAGATATCTGGGAGAGTCCGATTGCTTAGTACTATCAGGTATTACGTGTCTTAGAGTTTTGAAAATCCAAATCAATTTTCGGGTCCTATTAATGACATGTTCAAGGTGTGGGTATCACGATAGCCTCTGATCTATAACGATGCCAAGATATTTAGTGTGAGAGACTTTTTCAATTGATGGGCAGTCACAAGCTTTGTTTTCAGCATCCTCAAAACACATATGAATTTTAAGGCAAAAGTCATTCTGTGGCTGCAATTTGTTGGTAATGCTAAAGCAAATAAAATTTGTCTTAGCTGTATTCAAAGTGAGGAGATTTTGTTGCAACCATAGAGCGACTCGAGCTAGCCCACTTTCAGCACTAGTCTTGACAGCCTCCCAAGATTCATCAGCAAAAACCAAAGCCGTGTCATCGGCGTACGACAGGATTTTGGCATTTGGTATGGTCATACTGCACAGATCATTGACATAAATTAGAAATAAGGTCGGGCCCAGAACGCTACCCTGTGGAACGCTATATGATGACACCACCGCTTCCCCCACTAATGAACCCAGGAAGCTTAACCTTCTATTTTCTCTCCGATAGGTAGTTTTCGAAAAGAGCAAGCGGAGTCCCTCTTATTCCAATTTTTTCAAGCTTGTGCACAAGGTTAGGGACAGAGACGGTGTCGAATGCTTTCTTCAGATCAAGGAAGACCGACAAACATTTTTTGCTGTGGTCGAGTTGTTCTGTTACAAATGTGCTTAATTCAATAATTGCATCTTCTGTCGATCTTCCTTGTCTGAAGCCAAATTGTGTGGGTGCTAATATATCAAATTTATTTAAGTAATTGAGTAATCTAATATTAAGTAACTTTTCCAGAATTTTAGATATTGCTGGTAGAACGGAAATTGGTCTGTAGGTTAGAGTAACATGTCGCTCTATTACGTAAATAATAATTTCATTATGATTCTTTTTAATTATTTTTGGAAAAAATAATTATATATTAATAATAGATTTAAGTCTGTATACCACTATTTATATTTTTATAAAGTTTGATTCCTATTCAAGTTTGGGTCAGTATACAAATTTATTTATTTTTTATTTATTTATTTAACTTCATATACACATTAGATATTAGATGTATATTGGCGGACTTAATGCCTGAGGCATTATATACCAGTCTACCTTAGAGTAGTGCAGAAATAGACAGCAATTAATATTCACATATATAAACATTGTGTAAGTATGTATACATAAAATTAAATATATATAATATACATTATATATACATACATACGCACATTATATATATATATATATATATATATATATATATATATATATACCTTTTGCTTCAGTGCCCCCCTTTTAGTACTAACTTTGTACAATCATCGTTCTTTGTTCAATCTGTTCTTCTTTGGAACGCTCTTCCTTCCGAAATCAGGAGTGCTGAAAACCGGATTTCGTTCAAGTTTAAAGTGCGAGAACTGCTCGTCAATAAAATGGCAGAATCAACTTAGCGTTCGTAGTTAGCCGTGTTTAATATATATATATATATATATATATGCTCAGCAGTTATATATATATATATATATATATATATATATATATATATATATATATATATATAACTGCTCGTCAATAATATATATATATATATATATATATATATATATATATATATATATATATATATATATATTAAACACGGCTAACTACGAACGCTAAGTTGATTCTGCCATTTTATTGACGAGCAGTTCTCGCACTTTAGACTTGAACGAAATCCGGTTTTCAGCACTCCCGATTTCGGAAGGAAGAGCGTTCCAAAGAAGAACAGATTGAACAAAGAACGATGATTGTACTAAGTTAGTACTAAAAGGGGGCCACTGAAGCAAAAGGTTATTAATAGAACGGAGAACTCTATCATGGTTGGAGCTAAGATATTGAAAATGAGGTGTTAAATAAGATGGAGGATTAGGAGACATCAAGACAGAGTAAAGAGTAGTGAGTGCACGTAGACTACGGCGCTCACGAATGGGTAACCAGTTAAGTTGAGAGCGAAAAGTAGACACGTGATCATACTTTCGAAGATTAAAAATGAATCGAATGCAGTTATTAAGAAAACGGTCATTTTTGTTCAAGAGTTCTACATTCAATTCAAAATAACACACATCGCCATAGTCAAAAATGATAAAAATTAAGGTCTGTACAATAATCGTCTTGGTCCTGGACGGGAGAAAGTTCTTCAGGCGGTAGAGAGAACGCAAAGTACCTGTCACTTTCAGACAAACATTTGCCACTTGAGTTTGCCAGCTCAAGGTGGAGTCAATGTGCAATCCACGGTCTTTCACGGTATTACTCAGTTCTAAAATAAAACCGTCAAAAATGATCGGCGGTAAAGCTGTGGGTTCCAGGTTGTCCAGTTTCTTTATCATCCGTTGGCTATCTATTATTATAGCCTGACATTTGGATGGGTTAACTTTAAGGCCAAACTTGTCAGACCAGATCTTTATATACTCTAGGTCCCTATTAAGAGACTCAATTGCTCTAGATATACAGTCGACCTTCGCGTGTGTGTACAACTGCAAGTCATCAGCATACAAATGATACGCACACTGAAGATTTGGGGTAGTGAGATTTATAAATATTGAAAATAACAACGGAGATAGAATACCGCCTTGAGGAACACCAGCACGCAAGTCACACCAACTTGATGAGGACTCGTCAATGCGAACTGACTGCTGGTATATGTGTATTATGTTTGTATTACAAATATAGTAATACAAATCTTAATTATGATTTTTTAACGACTTATTATTAAAATAGTCTGTTTGATTTTTCTTAATAAGTCCATTTATTATTAAAAATAACTTCATTGAGTGAGACATTTTTTTAAATGTGCCTTTTTCTTGTTTTTCAGAAATCTATTTTTGATCTACGCCAGTGATTTATAGTAATGTTACGAGCTTGAGGTTCGTGACAATAAAAATTGCCGATAAAATTACCTAAATTAACACTTTAATTTACTTTACACAATTAAAGTTAAAACACTAATAATTAAACACACTAATTCACTTAATTCCGCCCGAAACTTCGCTTGTTTCGCCCAAATCAACACTGCCTCCATCGCATCTTGCAGCGCCTATATATTTAATTTAGCAAAGAAATATCCAGAATGTTCAAGTAAACATGCGGAAGGTACCGAGCGTTCGAGTTTCGACTAGGCGCTGTCGGTTGAGTAATTTGTGATGTCATTTTCTCAATGCTCCCCTCGCTCTCGTTCCTGACACTAGATGGCGCTAGTGTATCGTTGACTGGAGCGCGTAACACTGCCCCCCTCCTAAGACATGCTCGTCCCGAGCATTATCGGCCCCATAATAACGCGCCAAGCGATTCACATGGACGATCTTAGGAGTCCCTCTTGCGCCTTTCTGTAACGGCTCCGCAATGTCAAGGGCTGTCCTATCCCGTGGTGCACCAACATTGTACAATTTCGGTGCTCCTCTACTACGTGTCCGAGGTCCCCGCACGGCCGCACAACTTGTACATGTACGACACCAATCCTCGACATCGTCACGATAATGGACCCAGTAAAACTGTTCTCGGACCTTCAGTAGAGTTCGTTTAACTCCCAGATGGACTCTTGAACGACCATTATGGCACAACTGTAGAACATTCGATACTTTAGCTTTAGGGACAACCATTTGCAAACGACAGCTGTCTCTTCGACCATTGTCCCATTTACGGCACAGGACTCCATCCTGAATCAGCAAGCTGTCCCATTGGGCCCAATAGCTTTTCGTGGTTGAACTCATCGCTGAGACGTCCCTCCACTTAGGCTTGGTAGCACGGGCCTTCATCCATCCCAGAATCGGCTTGATGTCTGGATCTTCCTGCTGTGCATGTCGTAGGTTGTCCTTCCATTCGTTGCTGAGGTGGTCCGTCCTGAGCATCCTCATGGATACCACCTCCTTACTCTCTTGCCTACTACAATGGTTGCAATCTTCAGGACAAGGTCTTCTTGACAATGCATCTGCGTTGCCGTGAGATTTCCCGCTGCAGTGTCTGATAGTAAAGTCGTATTCCTGCTGCTGCTGGGCGGTGCTGTTAGCCGCACTTCCTTTCTGAGACCGTTCACCTTCCCTTCGTAGGGTGTGCTCAGGGCAGCTGGACCGAAGATGGCCCCTTTCCCCACAGCCATAGCACCTAGGGCTGTATCTTTTATTGTGGTCGCGAACCGTAACTGCTGTAACCTCCCTAGCGTGAGGTGAACGATGATCCTGTCGCCGCCAGGCAGTGTCGTTAGCTACACTACCCTCTCGAGATCGATCAACTCTCCTTTCCACGGTTCGCTTAGGGCAGCTGATTCGAAGATGGCCCTTTTCCCCACAGCCATAGCACCTTGGGCTGTATCCTTTGTTGCGGTCGCGAACTGTAGCTGCTGCAACCTCCCTGATGCGATGGGAACGATGATCCTGCCGCACGGCTTCCACCTCCAGTGCATGGGCCAAGGCGTTCTTAAGCGTCTCGTGGTGCCCGAGCCTCACAGCAGCTCTGACTTCCAGGTCGCGGATGCCGTCGATGAATGTCTGCACCAGGTTCCCTTCAATGAGCGCAGGTACAGACCGGTATGCTTTTCGCACCAGCTTCTCCACTTCTAGAGCCCACTGCTGCAGGTTTTCGTTGATGCGCTGCACACGATCTTTAAGCTGCGCACGAAAGACGTGTTCCAGGTGAGCGTCGCCATATCTCGCCTCCAATGCCTCAAGGAGTTGCTCATAAGTCACTTCCTCACCGAGAGCTTCCAGAACTGTTAAGGCCTGGTCGCGCAGGCCTAGTGTGAGAGCAGTCATGGCCTGACTTTTATTCCAGCCGTTCGCCTTCATAACAGCCTCGAACTGGATTTTGTAGGCTGACCAGGAAGAAGTCCCGTCGAATGGTGGCACCTTGAACCCACGTAGCGAAGGTGTAGTAGCTACTACGGGAACTGAAGTTCCCTCGCCAAGTTTGAGTTCGTCAAGTGATTTCCTCATGTCAGCCATTACGTTGTCAACCCGATTGTTCACTAGGTCAATTCGGGTTTCAGCTTCCGACAGGCGGTTTTCATGTTGAGCAACCTTATCTTTCACCTCCCTTATCTCTTTCCCGAAGGTAGCGTGAAGGTCCTTCATGAGAAGCATCTGTTCCTCCTGTCGGCGGGCCTGTTCCTCTTGTCCGCTCTGCAGCTTCTCTTTCAACTGACGGACCTGTTCCGCCTGCTGACGAGCCTGTTCATCCTGTCCACCCCGCAGCTGCTCCTCCAACCGACGGACCTGTTCCTCCTGTCGGCGAGCCTGTTCCTGCAGCATCACCATCAGAGCACCTAAATCGGGTGCTGCAGATGGAGGAGCTACTGACGGGCCTGCAGCCGGCGGCTGGCCCTCCGACGTCAGCGGCGTTGCACCACCAAATCTTCTTTGGTCCGTCTCCTGCTGGCGTTGATTTCGGGTACGGACACCCTCCGTTTTCTCCTTAGGTAAAATCGGCATGATTTTATCCCACTTCTGACACCAATTGTTACGAGCTTGAGGTTCGTGACAATAAAAATTGCCGATAAAATTACCTAAATTAACACTTTAATTTACTTTACACAATTAAAGTTAAAACACTAATAATTAAACACACTAATTCACTTAATTCCGCCCGAAACTTCGCTTGTTTCGCCCAAATCAACACTGCCTCCATCGCATCTTGCAGCGCCTATATATTTAATTTAGCAAAGAAATATCCAGAATGTTCAAGTAAACACGCGGAAGGTACCGAGCGTTCGAGTTTCGACTAGGCGCTGTCGGTTGAGTAATTTGTGATGTCATTTTCTCAATGCTCCCCTCGCTCTCGTTCCTGACACTAGATGGCGCTAGTGTATCGTTGACTGGAGCGCGTAACAGTAAACTAAAAATGAAAAAGAAAGCTGATTTTATTATGACTTGGGTAAAAAACGATGAATACGAATAGGTTACCTTATTATTGCCTTTTTTTGACTAGACCGATGACACAATTTTACTTTTTTTCATTTTACAACTATTTCATAATATTTGAAAGTTATTTATTACGAAAAAAATCTCTAATATGATTTAATTAGTATTAGCATAGTATTTCAAACAATTCAATTCATTACAAATTATTGCAGATTGTTGTAACATCTGATAAGGAAAACGGAACAAACAACAGTCCTACCCTTTTTGAAGGCTCATCAAGCGTTAGCTTTAGCACTGATTGTGAAGATAGCAAAGTAAGTATTTTAGTTAGCAATTTACAGTTTTAGGTTAATTCTTAAAGTAACAAGTTTATAAATATTCAATCATTAAATTATATATTTTTGAATTAATTGTATTTTTTCAGATCGCCGACTTAAGTGTTAATGTAAAGATAGTAGAAATCAGGGAAAATTGAAGGGACTACATCGCACCAGGACTTCAAGTTCCAGAAGCAGTACTTTTAGTTCCAGTACCTCCCCTTTAAGCAGCTCTTCTTCAAGTTCTTCATCACCTAGTAAAAATAATATTTCTAATAGCGATGACACGCAAGGTAAAAATACCATATCAGCTTGCTTGATAGGTTTACCAGATAAACGTGAAGTTTTGAGAATGAACTACTGTATTTCTCCAAATCGTAGCGATGAAAGTGAGGTAGACCAAGTGATTCCGACCCTACCTATCGTATACCCTAGACACAAGTTTGCCGCCCAAAAATATTCGCCTTTCTTCAATGTCATCTGAAGACACTCCGTTTTCGGTGACTCATGCTAATGATGAACCAGAAATTGAGGTTAAAAGAAGTAAAAAACGAAACAGAAATCCCGAGTTATGGAAAGAAAATAAAGCAAAAAACTGAGAAACAGCGGCAGGTCATATGAATCTAAGAAAAAGAAAATAGTTCCAGCGCGTTTTATGAAACCTGTTTCCAATAATTGCAGATTGAAATGTGCCGAGAAAATGACTGAGAGTGAGAGGGCGAATTGGCTTAAAAATTATTGGGCTTTAAGGCCGAATACGAAGAGAACTGGTGAAAATTACTGTATTTCTCTTGACTAGAACTTTGACCTGAAGTAATTCTAAGCTTTAAAACATTTTTGTAGGTTTGTTCGGGTCCTTCACAAGGTGACCGTCGTTTTAAAATTTTAAAATAAATGAATATACCAACAAATAAAAAATGTTAAGAAATGATATATAAAAATTATTGTTCTTCCAAAACTCTGTGAATTTTAATTTAGGAAAAATTCTTTTACGTAAAAATGTTTGTATTGTGATTCCGAAGGTGCCTGCTGTCTTTATTTTCGATACAAAATATTATTTATTAACATAATTCGTTTTAATTAAAAACACCTAGTAATAATATCGTAATATTGCCAGATAAAAGATTGCCGTAATAAATTACCAGGCGCTTCGACGTGTGACGTAAGGTAACAACAGTCGATGTGTCTGTAGCGAAAATCGTTAATTTAGTGTTTTATACGCGTTTAAGTGACTATAAATGTAAATATGGGTAGAAAAGGAAATAAATGTTAAAAAGTAACTAAGTGGTAAAACAAAGAGAGTTTCTCGCATGAACGCTGCTCGAATATCGTATTTTGAGGTTAATACTTATATTTTTGTAAGGTAATTTTTTGTTTGAGGCTGCCTAATAGGTTGCATTTTTACTCATTTACATTAGCCAAACTGATCATTTATACTTTTCTAGTTTCAAGTGAGAAACACTAAAAATGTAAATATCAAGACCCAGTCGGAAAAGAATGTACAGAGTAGTGCAAGCACAGAGACCGCAAATAATGTCGTAGTCAATGTATTGTCCGAAAGCATGGGGTAAGTTCATAATTAAGAAAAACCGAAATACTTCGGATGTGAAGTGATTGACCAGTCGGAGTAGTCTCGTGAGAATTTACATACACAGTACCTATCCCCACTATGGGGCCATCACCGACTTTTTAGTTTTTTTTCTTTATTATTTATGCAATTTGCATTACGGCATCTTGTAAGACTGACAAGAACAAACATTTTCAGTTATATGAGGTTCTTTACGTACGATGCACCAATTAAGAAAAAAAAAACCGTTATCAGCTCAATAACTTTTCGAACAATATTTTTTAACGGATAAAGTACAGAATTTATAATCTATAGGAACTAATATTATAAATAAGAAAGATTTATTTAAGAAGTACGCAATGCTCTCTGTGTTGTTCATTACTCTGCATACTGAGCTAGCTCAGTCAAATATATAATATAATCAAAGCCCGTACGGCTTTGATTATATTATACATGTCTATATAAACAAAGCGTACGGCCGGCGCGTGGTTTGCTGCGAAACGAGCAAGGTCATTCGCGTCGTATTCGGCCTTAAGTGATTTGGCGGTGCAACGTGGTTTTTTTTTAAGAAAAACCTCGTAACGGTAACAGCGCTTTTTATTTTGTTGTTAATAATAATAGGATTAGAGTTTGCAAAAAATATTTTTGAATAGTCTAGGAATTTGGGATAAACAATTACGAACAGTTAAAGCTAAAACTAACTCTCAGGGATTTGTTGCACCAGAATAGAGAGGAAAACATGAGAACTGAAAAAAATCGATCAACATCTAATTTAGCGCATTGGGGATCATATAAATTGCATACCAAGAATAGAATCTCATTATTTACGAGCTACTTGCAATGACAAGGAGTATGTAGCTGAAGTAAAGATTATTCAAGCTCTCTGCAATGACTTATGAATATAATAATGAACAAAGACAGAAAAACCTACCTGAAGCGGAGTATTGGCTTTATCTTCAAACCTTTAATTAAAATTTATACATTGGTTTTTATCAACCTTAAAAAGATAGGTGGAAGACCTGTAAAGCCTACGAACTTGCCCCTTCTTCCGTTAAAGAAGAAATGAAATTAGAATATGATAGACACCTCAATGAAAAAATTATATAGCCAGGACGCTTGGACCGTGAAAATATCAACGAAAGGAATACTTTTGTGCCGTATATGATCAACAGGCCGTTATGCTATGTCCTAGCCCTAAATATTTATATTATTCGTCTAAACTAAATTGCTTGGACTTTACAAGGGGATGTATTTTGTTTCTTCTGGGATGAGACACAAGGTCTGAAAGGTGATAATGAAATTAGTTCGTGTGTTTTCGATTATCTTTCTAATTTGTGGATGTGTTATCCTAATGACGGATTAAATATTACATTTTATTCCGATAATTGTACTGGTCATAATAAGAATAAAATTTTGGCTAGTATATATTCATATGCTGTTTTTAAATTTTACAATAGAGAGAGCAGCACATAAAATTTTCATGTGGTTCGGTTTTCCGTTTAGCGGGATTGTATTAAAAACTGGACTTTATGTCAATGGAACAGAGTTATTTTTGTGAGGAAGAAATTGTCTTGTGCACTAGTCTTTTTTATTTACAATATCTTTGCAGTTACTATACTAGGAGTAATAGGTACCATTATTAAATAATTAATATTAATTAGGTGTATGTTATTACAAATTAATAATGAATATTGAGACCACAGAATAAAAATTTTATTTCACAGAATAAAATTTTTATTCTGTGGTCTAATATTCATTTTTTTTTATTTTTAATAATGTACTATTACTCCTAGTATAGTAACTGCAAAGATATTGTAAATAAAAAAAGACAAGTAGTGCACAAGACAATTTCTTCCGATTTGTATTGACATAAAGTCCAGTTTTTAATACAACCCCGCTAAACGGAAAACCGAGCCACATGAGAGGCTCAGTTATGACCTTTAATTAAAATTTTATGTGCTGCTCTCTCTGTGGTATATAATAGCATTCTGTGCTGACTGCATCTTAGAGTCTGCATTACGTAGACAGAGAAACCTATAGACAAATTGATGCCTTCTTTCGCATTTGCACATGAAAAAGATAGATTTATGCATACGTCTTGCATAGAAATGAGACAGAGCGGTGTGATTTTTTGTCCCCTTCTCCGTGCCGGTTTTTTGTTTAGCAAACTAAACTTTGGCAGTTCGTAGCGATCTAAGGAGTTTACAAGTTGGTTTAAGTGAAAAAGAAAGTGTTTTGTGAGTTTAAGATTGGTGAATCTTGTTCAGTTCGTTTGCGACAAATCTATTGAAGGATGTTGCGTGTAATTAAAGCGTAGAAATAGAAATGTCAAGTGGTCAAGTTTGGTCTCTTTATAATAAGCCAAATATGAGAGTAAGTACACTCGTATTGTTGCGCGCCTAAGTTGACGTCAGGTACCTGGTCACTAGCGCCATCTAGTGTCGGGGACCAGAGCGAGGAGGGCTTCTTAGAAAATGTCAATCTTGACTTTCGACCAACAACGCCATCTAGTATCGAACAGAAAAGTTAAGCTTTCTAGAAGCCCCACACTCGAACTTTCTGCATCTGGTCGGTCGGCGCCCGTATCTACCGGAATATTCTGGATGTTTCGGTGAAAAAGGCATATAAAAAGGCGCGGCAAGCTGCGATCGAGCAGTATTGAATTTGGCGAGACAAGCGAAACTTCGGAGCGAAATAAAGTGAATCAGTGTGATTAATTATTAGTGTGATTTAAGATTTAATTGGTGTTCGGTAATAAAAGTGTACATTTTGGTAATTCGATCGGCAATTTTTATTGTCACGAACCCTAAGCTCGTAACAGTATGGTCTGATTTACTAAAGAAATGACATCCCTATTGTAGTATAGTAATACGTTTATGTGTGACGTTACTTTACAAGACGTTACGTTTTTAATCTATAGTGATTGCGTTCGCAATGTTAGCTACGATCGACATCGATATACTCGTTTTTGTTAACTTGTTTATTTTATTACTTTTATGCTGAAAATATTTAAAAAATAACAGGACTAGACTTATTATTTGAACGATCAAGTAAATTGTTTTCTAAATCAAGTGGTGATTTTTTTATAGGTTAGGGTAACAAAAGAGCGTACAGTCCACCTGATTTGTAAGTGGTTTCTGTGGCCCATAGACATCTACATCTATCCTCGATTACGAATAAAAATGCAGATGCGTTGCCACCCATGAGGACCAAGATGGAATGCCTCGTTTCCAGTAAAAAGTGTCACCAGTTCTCTACACTAACCATATGAAACAGAGCAGCATTAAGCTACTATTTTACGCTGGTATTCTGTGAGAGCGTGGTCCTTCCCCGGTTGAGCCGACCCATTCGTACTACAACTATACTAATAATATAACTGCAGTATGGCTCAAATATTCGTTTCGCAAACTTTAAAAACTAATAACTAATGAGGTATCAATATGTCTTGATTGTCTTGACACGGTACATGATACCGATCCGCTCCGGCTTTGCATGATAAAAATGCTATTTACCGGGTTCAATTGTAAGTTTGAGTGTTTTTAGAATTCTGTCCAGCATTTCTTGAGTGATGATCTTTCATACATGCGGTAAATTAATTTTTATTTATATAGGTTTATCACTTGCTTGAAGGAAAATAGAAACCATCGTTCATATTCAACAAACCTTTATCTGTTTTAAAAAAGTAAAGTTACAACCTCTATATACGTCCCACTGCTGAGCACAAACCTCCTCTCACTTCTGAGAGGGTTTTAGGGCAAGGAAGTGTCCGCCTCCCTGCCCCAATGCGTGTTGGCGAACTTCACATGTTTTCGAAATATTTTTTTCTTTTTCCTCAGATATGCAGGTTTCCTCACGATGTTTTCCTTCACCACCGAGCACGTGGTAAATTAGCACTTAAAATTGAAATTAACCATTTCATTGGGGCCAGCGGGGATCGAATCCGGGTTGCTCGCGTTCTGTTATATTTACAGCGAGCGTTAACCATCTGAGCTACCACGGCTTTATCTGTTTGGATAAAAATATTTTTATATCATAAAGGTAAGGCAGGATCTTGATAATGCTGTGTAGCGGCAGTGAAAAAGAATTCGCTACCTACTATCAATTAATATATCACTCAGAAGCTCTAAGAGCCCATACCATCCCGTGAGTATCGTAAAAGATGACAGAGAGAAATGTAACGTATCTTCGTGATAACAACTCAAAATAAAAAATTACGGTTGCCAAACCACTTGTGAAGAGAGAGAACTATGGCAAATATTCACCCTACGTTCAGCATTGGACTTTTGATTGGCTATATGTAATTAATGAACGATGAATAAAATCTTGAGGGAGTAGAGAGAAAACGGGTAATACGTTCATAACCGATTTATTGGTAGTTGTAGTCTAGCGACAAAAGAGAAGGCAGGCTGCGGTCATTATTATATCACTACTAATTTACGTGGAAAATCCACGCCGCAGCTATAACAGTTGTAGCTCGTATAGATTAGCTCGACCGAGGTAGGACCACGTTCTCACACAATACCAGCGTAAAATAACAGCTTAAGGCTGTTGTGTTGACTGTAGAGAACCGGTAACCCTTTTTATTGGAAACGAGGCAGTCCATCTTAGTACTTGATAACGCATATGTATTTATTTTTAATCAGGTAAATGGACTGTGTACTCGTTTAGAACCCTTATTCTATAAATAAAACTGCTGTAACAGTGGCACATACTAAGTGTCGATTAAAAACACAGTTATTATTGTGAAACCCATACTAAGTCTAAGGATAATTTGGCAGAAATAAATCGGCTGAATTGAACTGAATTTCATAGTTGAATAATGAAGAATTTAGTACGAAATTCTGCATTATTCAACTACTTTTATTGTAAGATGTCGGATGAAGCTTCCATAAATTTTCGTTGATATAAATAGGTATTACGAACCGGATTAATAAATATCCTTAATTTTACTAAGTCATAGACTAAATAAATTTATCGACAACGTGTTTTTGCGCTAATGGCACATCAATAGAGGTGTCTATGGAATGTATGGAATGTTGCAAAAACGGCCACAACCTTGTAAAAGAAAGAATGTGATAATAATATTGCTATCTTATTTTGTACTATGTTGACGTCATATGTATAAAGACTTCAACTATAAGAATTTTGTTCCTATTTTAGGGCTCCTCCATGCTAGAAATTATTTTGAGGTCTGCATAGCATGGAGCGTAGAGGTAAGGAGGACAATCTCCCATAGGAGAATAGTTGAAAATGTTTCCATCTGTAAGCAGTAAATAACAGTTCAAAAACTCTCCACAACAGCGCTCAAGTAGCTAGAGGGTATGAAATATAACATAACATTAATATAAAATTAATAAACAACTTTATTAAATATATTATTATTTGTTATGTATCAATATCCAGAATCCATCTTGAGTCAAGCACTTGTCTTTCCGCCTAAAGTCAGCACTTCCGGCTACCTTACCTGCATGGAGGGGGCACATCACCACTGTTTTTGCTTTGTTATTTAAGTAGTGATGAGCACCAGGTCTCGTCATTATAGCGTTGTTTTTCGCGTCTTTCACAAGTCAGCCTTTGTAAGCACGAAAAAGTTTCAATTTTACTAAAACTAAGTGATAAATAACTACCCCACTGATAAAAGTATGGAGGAACAAAGTGTCGAAGAAGTTACATTATTAAATTCTCAAAAATGTGTGCGTACTTCATCATCGAATTCGGATAGCAGTGATTCGTCAGCAAACAGTGTTGGCAGTCAAACAAGGAAACACAAGAAAAGAAAAATGGATCAAACCGTGAGTAATGAACATTTCAAATTTTTATCCCAGCAAGTGGCCTTTTTAACTAATTTATTACAAAATCTAGCGAAGTTACATGCCAAAATCAAAAAATAGTCCCTTCACTTAATCTTAATTTGCACCGACCTACAACAGAAGGCGGTGACAAAATAAACCAGCTCAAGCTACCAGATTTAAGTACCACGGCAAAAAACTTATTTATCCACGTGCAAATGAAATACATTTAAATAAATTAGTAGAATTACAGCGTTTTAATTGTGATTATTGGTATGCTGTACGGTTTATCGATGCCCAGAAAAAATATTTATCTACCCCCCGGTTTTGTCGAACTTGCTGTAAATGATTCGCTAAAACGATTTTAATCTGCAATGTTGCGTGATTATCCTCGTTCTTATTTGCTAGAACGTTCCTTCGCCGAATTAACTAACGCCTTACTTTGTCAAAAAGAGGAATTACAAAGAGCATTACAAGCACTAGTAGATTGGGCCAGTGATTCTCAACAGACTTTGACTCCATATACATTATTTGATAAAATAGAGACTTTATTTTCTAAGGAGTCACCATATAGCAAAGTAACTGAAGATTTGTTTCAAATAGTTTGTGGTAGACGAGCGGATCTTGTTAGCTTACGCAGAGGTTCAGAGGACAGATTCCTGAAGAATACCATCGCGAGGTTTTGCAAAAAAATCCCTCCTAAAGTAGAAACTCTGTTCAACGACGATTCCATTCAACCTACCTTCAGAAAATTGGAGGGGCAGATAAATTGATCACTTCATCCCGATCAATGCCTTTTACTCAAAAAGAAATTTTTTATGCCAATCAAAAGCCATCGACGAGTAAACAAGTTGATGATATTTTTTTTCATCGAAGCAATCCCTCGAAAAGAGGAAAACGAGCACCACGCCCATCCAACCAAACGAATCAAAATAAATCTGGCAAAAATAAACAAAGAAGAAAGAAATCGCATTCTTCCTTTAAATATGACCGTCTTAAATGACTCTCAAACATTTCATGGCGGCTGTCTAAAACAATTTCAAAGTGTTTGGAGCAATTTAGGCGTGCCGGAACAAATATGCAGACTATTAAGCGGCTCGTACATCCCATTCATACTCAAGCCGCCTCTAATACTTCCAAATCAAATTGTGATTCAGAGCTACAGGACCAAAACTTCCTTAAATATGACTCGCCAAATTCAAAGTATGTTAAAGTCCGGAGTACTCAAACAGGCGGAGCCGAGTGCCGGTTTCCTTTCTAAATTCTTTTTGGTGCCAAAACCAGACTGCAGCTATCGTCCAATATTCAATTTGAAGCAACTGAACAGGTTCGTCAAAACGAAACCCTTTTTTGTTTGATGGCAAAATTAGACCTAAGCCAAGCCTATTTTCACGTTCCGAATGTTCGGCGTTATCGAAAATACTTGAGACTAAATTATCACATCAATTCAAACCGTTTGGCCTTTCCTCTGCACCGAGAACGTTTGCCTCAATAACTAAAAAAAAATCTGGCATCAGATGTGTAGTTTATTTGGACGATTTTCTATTGGCAAGCCAGTCAATGCATCAACTACAAGAAGATATATCATTAACGATAAAGATCATGCAGTTACTAGGATGGACAATAAATTTCGAAAAGTCCGTACTGATTCCGACACAGTGCCTCGAGATTCTCGGCATAACATGGGACACAAAACTCAATGCGAAGTCCTTATCGGAGAAAAAGTGCTTAATGCTACGCAACGCACTTCAGCAACAGCTCTTAAAAGGCAAGTGGTCCCTCAAATAATATCAGATCTTAGTTGGGAGACTCAATTTTGCCACTTACGTAACCCGGAGAGGTCGGCTTTATTGTCAAACACTGCAATACTTCAGTCGACAGTTGTCAAAGGACCAGCCTTACCGCCAAGTGAGTATTCCACTATATACCAGTTCAATCCGAGATGGAGTGGTGGCTACAGGCTGTAGGTCAATCTGTACCGATACACATGAATGCAGTAGTAACTCAACTTCTAACAACCGATGATTCAGATACTCGGCGATATAGGTACCGAGGGAGCTGGATAAACCGGCAAGTAACCTGGCACGCAAACAGAAAAGAAATGTTTGCAGTTCATGCAGCGATATCACACGAACAAAATCTGCTAAAGAACTCGCAAGTACTTCTTCAGACAGACAATCGAACGGTGGTGTCTTATACAAACAACGAAGGCGGAAGCAAGTCTCAGACTCGACAACTCCTTGCACTTCTAGACAAATTCAATATACACCTTCAGGTCCAGTACTTTCCAGGCAGATTCAATGTCGAAGTGGACGCTTTATCACGCCAAAAGGCTGGCCCCGAGTGGCACCTTACAATAGCGGCGACATCCAAAATATATCGAATGTCGGGCACGCCGGAGATAGACCTATTTGCGTCAAGTACTGCTCACGTGATCCCGAAGTATGTTTCAGTGAACAGTCAGGACAAGCAAGAACATCATAACGCATTTTGTCACCAGTGGCACTACAAACTAGCATGGTTAGTCCCACCACCCAATCTTATTCCCGGAGTCCTAAACCATTTAAATCAAGCCAGCGGAATATACATATTAATTGCCCCGAAATGAAACAAGGTGTTTTGGCAAGTAGATGTTCAACGCCGAGCTCTACACCCCCTTTATCGGATTACAGACCTAGTCCACACTCTAGTAGACCCAAGAACAGGCATACACCCACCACAGATTCAAGACTTGCTCTTCGACGCATGGCTGATTTTGGGTAGCAAGATATGTTAACAGAATGGACGGATAAAGAACAGAACTTGTTAATATCAAGTTGGCGAGGCTCTACGATCAACACATATAAACCAGCATGGAATAGATGGAAAAAATGGTGCGAGTCTAATTCGGTTAATTATAAATATCCTAACCCAGAACAAGTAGCACGTTCTAGCTAGCACATTTATATTGTGATATAGGTCTTGCTTACAGAACAATTTTAATACATAAATCTGTGATTTCAACATTCACTCACTTAACTTCAAAAGTAGATTTATCTTCAAATTTCTTCATAAAACACATGTTAAAAGCAATATCTATGGCCCGTACCAAACTAGTAAAGCCACCAATTTGGAATACCAAGTTTCTTATGCAGTATATAAGTAAATATAATTTACATGAAAACAATCTGTATGAAGTATCCAGGCATACTGCTACATTATTACTTTTGGCTTCTAGTCGGAGAGTTCATGACCTCACTTTATTGCATATTGACAATAACAGTTTAATAGACGAACAAAGTGCCATAATCTTATGGCCAGCTTTTGGTACCAAAACGGACAGCATTAATCATAGACAGTCTGGTTGGAGGCTTAAAGAACATCCTGATAAAAATTTGAATATTATTTTCTGGATAAGACAATTGTTAAAGATATCTAAAAATCGCAGAAAGGCTATAAATCATTTATTTATTACAACCAGAGGTGACGCTAAGCCAGCATCCTGTACTGTAATTGCTGGGTGGGTAAAATCGCTTTTGAGAGAGGCGGGTATTGACGCTACTCCTGGTTCAGTAAGATCAGCAGTATCTTCTTTTAAATTGGTTAGAAAGTTTTTCCCTTTGTTGTTGTGTACCTCTTGCAATAATTCTTTTATTGTTTACCTTACACATTAAAGCGTTAATAACTATCATAAGTTATTAGCACCAGATGATAACAAACACGTCACTCAAGATGGATTCCGGATATTGATACATAACAAATAATAGAGTTTTACCATAAAATAAAACTAATCTATTATTTTTTAATCAATATCCGGACTTTAGGCGGAAAGACAGGTGCTTGACTCAAGATGGATTCCGGATATAGATTAAAAAATTATAGGTAAGTTTTATTTTATGGTAAAACTCTATTGATCGATTTAGTACTATATACGATTAAAAATCGATTCTTTGATTAATCGATCTCGGCAGATCTCAGATCGCCATGCCCGTGCTTCTCTAGTCAGCTAGTCACAGAGTAACTTTGTATTAACTGAAAACTCTAGTGAACTGTCTCTAGTATAATACATAGTATGTATATACTCAGAGTTGCCGGACGAACGAGAAATCTCGTACCATTACGAGATTTAAGTTGAACGAGATTCAATATTAACAAAAATCTCGTACACTTTTTTACGAGATTTTAACAATGACTACTTCTTTCGCATACCTATATTAGCCAAAAAGTTAGTTTATTTAGTAGTAGTAGTAAATATGCTAATTTATTTACTTTTTCTTATCATTAACCATCCAACACAAAACTATCGACTCGGCGCATCACTAAATGCACTCCTCATCACTAAATGAAACTTGACAACTTTGAGTGGGGAATTCCCGTTCATAATATGCTTTTGTTGTTGTCCTTTTTACACTAATGTTTTGCTATATTTGTGTATCTCTCTTACCAAGAGCTATATTGAACGGGGATTCCCCTGACACTGAAACATGAAGGTTAGTTAGTAGATTTTTACTTTACCGTCTGCTTTTGTTGAAGTTTCGCAAATTTCCGTGTTTTTTATTTAACGTTTTTAATTACGAAATGAGTGACAGCAGGGACAGTGAATCATCGTCCACTCCACCTGAAAAAGTACCTAAAAAGGGAGGATGGACTGCAAAGAAAAAAGGTGAGACACGTTTTGAACATCATGCACAAAAATTTCGGGATGAGTGGTTAAAACATCCGATGTTTAGAGACTGGTTAGAGCCAGACCCAAAAGATTCAAAGAAAGCGAAGTGTGCATTCTGTCCAGCAAGTTCCTTGGTTGCTGAAATAACAAATCTGAAATCTCATGCCAAATCGAAAAAACATTTGAAAAACAAACCTGGTTCGTCCCAAAATTTGACTTCATTTGGTTTCAAGATGGGCGCAACTCCAAAAAACAAACAAAAGGATCGTGCAGAAATAAAACTAGCTGCGTTTTTTGTCGAACATAATATTGCTTTTTCTGTTGCTGACCATTTAACGGATCTACGACATTTTTCCGGATTCAAAATTAGTTCAAGAAATTGAACTTAAGCGCACAAAAGTTACAGCTGTAGCAAAAAATGCAATTGGAGAGGGTCATAAACCAAACTTAGCGAAGAAATTGACGATCACCAAATTTTCTGCGCTTACTGATGATACTACTGACGTATCAACAATTAAGACAGCTTGTGTGGTTGTTCGCTATTTTTACAATGATGCTCAAAAAATCTGCAGCGTGTTCTGGGAACTGTATAAGATTTTTAAAGAGACGGGCACCGATGACGTTTCTACAGCGAACGCTGAAAATATATACAGAGCGCTGATGGATTCATTTAATAACCGTAATATCCCACTAGCAAATATGATTGGTTTTGGATCTGATGGATGCAATGTTATGATGGGCGACAGAGATTCAGTCAAAACTCGTTTATTGCGAGATTTACCAGGGATAACAATTTCAAAATGTGTTTGTCATTCAGCCCACTTACGTGCAAGCCAGGCTTGTAAAGAAATTCCGGAATCTATAGAAACTTCTTCAAAAACAGTGACAAGAGACAGTTTGATTTTCGCAATTTTCAATCATTTGTTGACCCACACAAAATACTGAAACCGTCTCAAACAAGATGGCTTTCGCTGGCTGCAGTAGTCTGAAGAATCCTGGAGCAATGGAAAGCTTTGCGCTTATTTTTTATTGATTTTACGGCGAACCCAACTCATAAAGTAAAATCTGAGGTTAAAAATCATGCAGTGACAATTTTAGAAAAACTGTGTGATCCTTTCCGCAAGTTATACTTCTGTTTTTTGGAATGGTCATTGCCTTTGTTCACGCAATTCAATCTAGAATTCCAAAGTGAAAAAGTTGTTATTCACAAGCTGCACGATAAAATTCGAGATCTATACCAAGAAATTCTTCTGCGTTTCTTGAAACGAGAGTACGTCATGCAGCCGAATATAACTCAAGTAGACCCTAAAAATGAGCAATTCATGTTAAATGAAACTGCAATGTATCTCGGCATTAAAGTTTATGAAATGCTAAAACACCCTGACGTAGTTAGGCAACCCCTGAAGAAAACAATGTTCTTCATAAACTGCAGAAATTTCCTCAGGACTGGTGCGTTGAAAATAAAAAACGTTACGACATGGAAGATCCCGTTCTTTCCAAAACTCCAAGCTCTCGGACCAGCATCAGCTCTCTCCAACGATTTCAGAGTACACGTCCCAACATTGATGCCTCTGATTGAAGTCGTGCCATGTATAATTGCATCGTTTGATGACACTAAAAAACAACAAATAGATGATCAGTGGAGAAGATTACCGATTGCAAAAGCCCGCCATCCTACAGAGCTTAAAAATACCACAGAGCCTGATGAGTTTGAAATTGGCCAGTTTTGCCCTCGCAGTCTTGGCTTTGCCTCATGCAAATACAGACTGTGAGCGAGTATTTAGTAAGACTAACCTAATAAAAACAGATTTAAGAAATCGTCTTATCACAGATACAGTAAATGGTACACTTTTAGCTTCCGAAAGCGCTAAATGCCCAAATCGCAAAGGTAATTGCGTAAATTTCGAACCATCAAAAGAAATGTACGCCAGAATGACAGCTGAAAAGCTATACTCTAAAAATAAAGAGGATTTTAATTAATAAAAAATATGATTTTTAATTATTTTGTTTGAATTTAATAGCCCTAAGCGCAAAGAATATGATTACACAAGTTACATAGTACAGTAAATAGCATAAAATCAATAATTTAATTTGAGTTTCTTTTAAGTGGAACGCCCACTGTTCATAGACACTTCGGCCATGGGTGTCCACATATAAAAGCATATGGAAATGATAATATGCAATTAAAATAATGAAATGGTTAAGGAATTGGTTTAAAAGTCGGGATTTTTATGATATAAAAGTTTTTATTTTCACAAATACAGTTTTTTAACGACTACTTTTACCAATTTTATTGCTTTTAATTTCTTTGACTTTTAATTCCCGACGTTTCACGTGCTTTATAGCACCCATTGTCACGGGGGACTGAGGTGACTGCCATCCCCATGTCAGTATTAACATGGAGTACCTTCAGCTTTTTATTATTATTTTTATAGTCCAATCTACGCAGATTGAACTTACTCTATCTTTAAGTCTTGCAGTGGTATGCTTGGGTTTAGTTTTAATTTTATTAATTATAGTGTCCCAAGCAGGTGGTAGTACCCAACCGCCTTCTCATATCATCCTTACTAGGAATTAAGGTTCTTTCGCGAGGATTTGTGGTCTATCAAATCTGATGTATGTCTATCTGGTTGGGGTGACACCCTTAACATACGGTAGTACAGCAGGCACACGCTCAACTGCGGTCGGCTTCACTCGGTCACTGTGACGGTAGACGCGGGACCCGAAGCTTGATTTTGTGCAGAACCTGCTTGACATGCTGAAGCTCCATGGCCAAGTGCTTGCTCTCACAGATCCCATATGCTCTCTGTAACAAAGATTTGCTCATGGTAACTAACTATAAAGGATGATGGTGAGATTCACCGCTTAAATATCAGTTAGTATGGGTCTTTTTTCTATACACAGTGTGACCTATGATGTTGTTAGGATTTTTCATAACAAAAACATCTAGAAAAGCTAAGAAATTATTTGCCTCTAATATAATACTTGGGGGAGGCCTAGAGCAGTGGACTTGTGAAAGGATGTAATGATGATGATGATGATGAATATAATATCATAATTACTGAATGGAGTTTGGCACAGAGAGTGGTAACGATGGATAAAATTCATAGGAACAACATCCTGATTTAATATTTCGCGGGCCATATTAATGAGCCGCTCTAATTTGTTTCTTGGCGCTTGCAATAATGCTTATATGCATTCATCACTTGTTTTATCTGTTTATCCATTTGTTGGTATTGTGCCTTTTATAAGCCTAGATAATAATGTACAGTATGTTCAGGCATACTGTGAATATTTTCAAAGTCTATATGATGGTATATATTATCTTACAATAATATAGAAATATCTATAATTTGTGCTACACTAAATATTTTATAATATGGTTATATATTGATTCTAAAAGTAAATACCAAGAGTTACTATTTAAATGGTAGTTACTAATTCTACATTCTGGAGGTACATAGTAATTGTATTCGCAAAAAGACATACCCGCAATGCTGATGGAACAGTGAGTTGATTGGAAGCAGGAAAAAACATTGACTTTGTGTGAGTGGTGCTCTTACAAAATTAGGCAGCAGTATATTGTACGATGTATGATCAAAGCTTTGTTGTTCTAGGTTCAATACATTACTCACTTTAGATTGCAACGAGAACGGACTTGATGATTCAGATGGTTCCCGTTCTAAAGTTTAACATGATGCTGCTTTATCAGTCCTTCGCCAGCAATCATGACACTCACGCGATGACGATGGCAACTGAAATAATATTAAATAAAAATAATAAGACAAAGTGAACAAAATAAAATAGATTTGTTTACTATAAACACAAATATAGGTAAATGTTACTTAAAACTTAGTGCCCTATATTATTAAATAATTAAGGACTGACTGACTACCAGTAGTCCAAAAACAATTAAAAATCGACTTTCTCATTTCTTGGCATTTGATAAAAATTGTCAATTTCGTAACTATCTAGTGTTAGCTAGCTAATCTTATCGCCATGTTATAAATAAGCTATTATGTTTGTCAGATATAGCTTGTGCATATGTTAAAAAATAAAACAACATCATCATTTCATACATTCATCACTATCAAATATCAGCACTAGAATTAATAAATTAAAAACTGCTGAACACTTACTTTTTTACTGTTGTCATACTATAATGTGATCAGCAATCTCACTACATATGAGTTCTTGAGAATTTATTTGAAAAATAACAAACAAAATAACACAATTGCGACTATTTAGTTGTGAATTCTCTAGTACCTTTTAGCGATGGGTATTGAATCAACGAACTAGTTGAATCAACCGTTGATCTCCTGTCAACGCATTAACGTTTACTGTTTATGAATCAACTAGTTGAATTCGTCAACGACGTTTATGAATTCAACTTATGCATCTCGTTCAATAAACGAGAACGCAAATGCAACTGACCAAATTAAAAAAAAACTTACGTTGAAAATACATCATAGATTGCAAGCGACGGTCATATCATGCCATTTGAACTCTAAGTAACGTATTAGTTTATTCAAGAGTTTTAAAGAGTTGATTTTCGAAATATTTAGTTTAAGAATAGTACTTATTAAGATTAAGAATTAAGAATAGACGGTATTGGGAGAATGGCGCGCCCCACTCGTGCCGCCCGAGAGAAACAAGTTAACACTATAAGTGTTATAGTTTGTTTATTTACGTTGGTGAACAATAATATGAAGTTCGCTTTCTTAAATTTTTAATTGACAGTTTGTAACAAGTTACGCGGAAGGTCAGAATTTTTTTGCGGCTTGTCGTAAATATTTAAAATTTTTAGTTAATGTTATGAGTAACAGTGTAAATTTGTTTGTATTAAGGGGCGTCTAAACAGGCTATATTTTACGACAATTTGTGGCTGCAATACTGTGGCCGGCAACATTGCTAGCAATACCAGCCACACTATGCAATATTTTAAGGATGGCCCGGCATTATAGCCACATATTTTTTGGTATGTCAAAATGTTTTTATGTGTAGCCGGCGTGTGGCCGAACGATCGCCTCGCAATCGAAAATACTGCAATATATCTGGGCCATCTATATTGTTGTTCTGTTTTACTGTATATGCGCGTCCCTTTCTCCCTGCGACGTGAAGTACTTTGGGTTTCACTTTCTGCGACTTAAATATTTACTTGCCTTTATGTATTCCTTTAAGCCTTCTATGGCTTCACAAACCTCTGGGACAATAGTTGAAATTAATAAGCGGACACTCTGAAAAGGTACATTAAACTCTTGAAAGAATCTCCAGTCGCTAAATACAGTAGAGTTATTGCTAATCTTGTAGTCACAGGTATTGCATTCCTCATGTTTGTATTTTGCCTTTGTATGTTTTGGTCCAATTCTGTTCACAAGAAATTCGAAGTCGCTCTTAGACATTCTTGTAAAATTTTTAAATAAGTATTCATCCAGCATTAATTCCTTGTCTACGGAATCCAAAGTGTCACGCCTACCTAGGTAGGGTCGAATCTACGAGCACTTAACCCTTTAAGTGCTCGTAGGGTCGAATTCACATTCGTGTCCTTTTTTTTCGTTTTTCTGCCAAAACAATGTAAGCGGCTGCGATGAGCGTCATTTCGTCGGCCATTGTTGCTGGATTGTGTGGCTCATTAAAGGGTTCTGAATCAAAGGCCATACTATTGCAGCCATATTGCAACATGTTGCCTGCAATTGATTGCTCAGCCATAAAATGCACTAAAATGTTTTTTTGATGGCTGGGCAATGTTTGCCAATAATTGCAGCCACAAATTGTCATAAAATATAGCCCGTTTAGACGCCCCATTAATATAATTGTGTAATTTACATAAAATACATATAATTTACATAAAATAGTACTACTTAAGGTACAAAATTGAAAATGTTGGGGCGTACTACGGGTAACAGTGAATGGTGGCTGCATTTCGGAAAAGACGATTCTAGCGGAAAAGCTGTCTGTAACATATGCAAGGAGAAAATATCGTACAAATCAACCACGGCAAATTTAAAAAGCCACTTAAAACGAAAAAATATTTCAATATTTTCATCAACATTTTCGTCGTCTCAATCTTCAAGTAACCCGCCTATATCCGAAATTAATGCACTCCATTCCATGCCATCAACAAGTAACGTGTTCCGACTTTAGTTCAAGTTCCATCATCTGGAAGTAAACGTCAGCGCAAGATGGTTGATTTTGTCAGTAAAAAAATCAGTGGAGAACAAAAGAAACTTATTAATTTAGATTTATGTACAGACCAGCTTACTTCGGTTTTCCATCGTAGAAGAAAGGGCTTTTAGAAAATTTTATCGGTAGATACCAGGATATGAGCTTCCTAATAGAAAAACACTTTCAAATTCAATAAGGCAACAAGTATAGGCAAAAACTTTCGATTTGATACAAGACAAGAGTTACTATCGAAAGGACCAATCAGGAAATTTGAATTGCCCACTAGAATGGTGAAAAAAAAACATCAATTTGTATACTCTAAATCTAAAGTAAATATTTGTGAAGCACTGTAATATAGTGGCTATGTTAGTTCCTTGTGAACGGTTGTTCTTAAAACTGGTCTTATTATCAACTAAAGACATACAAACAAGGCATAAAACCAGCAAAAATGAGCAAATCATGTTTCTTAGAGTAAATTCAGCTCAGGACCGGTTCAAGGAGTATGAATTAAATGTAAAGTAAAAGAAATTGACGAATGTATATAAAATCAACATAAAAATATGGAAAAAAAGATATAAAAAACAAAAGTATAAAAAGCATATTGTAA